GCATGTTTATTTTAGATCTGTGTGGCAGCAGCAATATACATTAAATAAATAAATAAATCCACTGCTCTGTTGTCTCCTCATCAAATGACGGCGCCATGGGTGCAAATTTACAGATTAAGGGACGGTGATATTATAATGAGATCCCTTTTCCACGTCACCAAGGGAGCGAAATCAGACGCGTTCGCTTTTTCAGACGCTTGCAGAAAAAAAAAGTTTCCGGAAATTTTCTGCCCCTTTGCAACCCTATCTACAAATAACAGTTGCCATTCAAATAGCTTTGTACCAGCTCCCAGAATGCTGAGGAAGCAGAAACCAATGAAATCAGATCTGGCTGGTTAAAGCGCTGGCATGTAACACTGTGCATATGGGTTAACAGAACAGATAGTAGTCCAATGAATAGAACGTGCAAACCATCAGGCCCTCAAACTGCTGGCACTGGCTAGTCGGTCAGCTCTATTTGATGCCATAGGCATGCAACAGAATGATATGCAAAAATCACATGAACATTTGCAGGCTAAAATAAGCAGTGTTCATTACGCTCATTTGATTAATTGCCTATAGCACATCCTACAAACTGTCCTAATGTGAACGGTTCAGTCAGTTCATCTCCAGGCCTGCTGGCACAGGATATAGCCATTTGGTGGAGCAAGCGCAAGATGTGCGAGGAACAAATCTCATCCAAGGCAGCGGAAATGTTCCATTTAGCATTTCTGACATCCTCACACTGTAGTACTATAGATGAAAATGGCCTGAGGATTTTAAGCAAGATGTTTTTCTTCTTCAAATCATCTTTTAACTAAGACGGTACTTAGCGGAAATAGGCCCACACAGAATCTGATGATTCATTCACATTTTCCAAGCTGATTTTGGACTAAAAGTAACAGAATTCTGCTGAATGGATTTAAACATGCTATACATACAGTATGTTAAAGGGGTCATATGATGCGATTTCAAGTTTTCCTTACTCTTTGGAGTGTTACAAGCTGATTGTGCATACATAAGATCCCTGAAGTTGCAAAGACTAAATAATGATCTTTAAAAAAAGCATCATATGACCCCTTTAAACTGAGCTCAGAATATAACTCTGATCAGCATTTGTAGGTTGATTTCCATCAATAGAGTGCCACAATACATCATTTAACATAAAACATTCTCTATTGAACATCCCAACCAGAAGGAAATGGGACTGAACTGAAAATATAGATTTAAACTGACCAACAGCAGACAGAGGAAGCATTTAGGAAAACCATTTTAAAACATTCAAAATTAATGCAATTCCGTTTTGTGACACTAGAGTAGAAATTGTATCTTTGAATAATATGAGAACACTAGCATCTCACCAATGAAAACCAAACCAAGAAAGGCTATTAGCTTAAAAGATGGTTCAGGGTAGGCCTGGGCGATAAAACGGTGTCGATATTTATCGACGGTACACCTTCTTCGATATCATTAGAAAAAAAATTTCAATATAGCGCACGATATCGGCACGTGCTATGAGTGACGCAGTCTAAATGTTTGATTTATATGAGTTAATTTAGACGTAATGCACGTTTTTCTTTTTATAGACAGTTATTTCTTTTGAGTTGGCAATTTAATGCGCTGCATTATTTTGCTCATTGCGCCCTCCTGTGGCTTCGGGAGACAAGCCAAAAGTTTCCTTAAAACCTATTTAATCTGCATATAAAACATTAGAAATTAGATATTTGTTTAAG